CAGGAAGCGCTTGATGTGTGTAGTACTTCTATGGAAACCTCTCTACTGCAACCGCGTGTTCTTGGTTGTCCTACCTAACGCCGCAACTGGTGAGCTGCAAAGAAATATATTTCCGATAACAGAAGGAAGAGGAATAATGGTAGAGTAATCAGGTGGTTTAGGATATTACTAGAATAAACCTGGGGTACTCGTGGGTTGTTATACTGCACGTTCCAAGATATTACATTTTGTTGCTTTCATTATAACTTCTAACATCCATCCACACGTTACTTAGATAAGTGCGACTACTCAAAGGATAATTTTGATGTCCTCAAATATGAATTGCTAAGTATTTTCGGAACATTTTCTCAAAATGATTAAATTTGTTTTGATAGTCACTAATAATTTGGTTAGACCAAAAGGGTTATTATGTTTTACAAATAAATAGAACAATCGCGCCTACGCTTCGAGGCCTAATAAAGATAGAATTCGTCGCTTTAATTAAGACGACACATGTTTCCTTCTAGCTCCGTTAGCTGCAACTTAAAGAGTTTAACCCACTTGCGCAAATTGTTGCTTCTGTCTCCATGACAACTGCTTCAAATTGACATCCTACTGATCAGACAATACTTAGTAAAGCTCTTGCAAGAAAATTGATCAAATGGTCACATAGAATCGTCAGCTGCGAGTTCAGCTACCATTGACAATTAAAGTGCAAATGCTTAGCCTGTCCACAGTCTTCTAAGCATTGATTTCGAGGCGTGTATGTAAAGCGATTAATGAACGGTGCAGGTAGGACCAGAGACTAAAACAATAGAGCGAAAGATTGCATTAGTATATGATATGAATAACAAAGCTAAACCGTGTGGGGTCCCGTGGGATATTTGTGCGAATTACAAAGTTTCCTAATATAAGTTGCACTAAAATGAAGTAAGCAACAGCGGACACACCAGATTAGCAACTCAAACTCACCGTTGTTTTCTTTTACCCTGATTTTGTTGATGGTTTCTGAGCACAAAATTTGTCGATAGCTTGAATTCATTTAATGAGCAAAAATCAAATCAATCAACCCAGGTGGTGTAGTGTATAATTAAACCCTTGCTTATAAATCGTTTGCAAGGGTACAAAATGACAAAAGCCGAAAGAGCTTTTCACTGTTGACAGTGAATGTAATTCCGAGGACATTCCAGCCGACTTTACACAGGACGTTTGGAAGCAGCTGCGGTGTCTGACTGACAAAATGACACGGCTTATTATTCGTAAAATCCGGAGCAAGTAGTGAATGCTGATTTCTTCCGATAGCTATCTCTATTTACTAGTAGGCAAAGGCTAGGTCAAGGGTGTTGAAAAGGACAGATACTAACATTTTATCTAAAAAACATCAATACGCAGGGGTGTATTGGCCTCACTCCGAGTGACTAAGTACAACCTTCGGTTGTCTAGACATACGAAATACACTGCTCTTCTCCTTTACAAATTCAGATGGAGATGCTCACAGATAACTGATAGCTTCTACACTATTCGTCATCTACAAATTTTGTAGGTCGTCCTACCAAAGCAATGGGATTCGGTTTGGGGGGTTTATAACAGGACCGAACGTCATGTATCTATCCTATGTTAAGCCCTGTTAGTGTGACAATCATTGATTTCCTTATGCAAACGAGGCTGTGTTTTTATCTGACAAGTCTGTAACCTTTTCCAGGACACAGGCAGAGTGAGCAAACAAATCTATGCATCTAATTTTTGAGCTGCAAACCTTACAATATGTAAGAGCTTCCTTGGTGTCAATTCCGCTGGGTCAAATCAACTCTTGCACTTATCCGTGTTTAGTTTCTTTTTGTCAAATTTCATTAATCACTCCAAGCAACGCAAAAGTATATAAAAGCAATAATTTTAAGGGAATGGTATGGTGTCGGGGGAAGCGAACTCGTGGTTGGTGCGCTGGTTAGCATTGCTGCCCCGAGTAAATATGACCAACTAATGAACATCCATTCTTCTTTAGATGCTATTAGATTGTATCGACAATGACACTATACGCAATATTTTAGCTGTCCAATGTAATTGAAGCTACCGACATTCTTACATACACCGATGTTGAAGGAAATTTTCAATCCCACCCACCTAACTCGCAATTACGTAGATCACGCAAACGTCGTAGTCGACCCGCATAAATCATTGGGTATGAAAGCAGCTTGCGTATGGTCACTCTCTCCTGGAAGTGTTTTAATAACACAAAATGGTTTGTAAAGTCCGCGTATTATATTTTGTTTTCAGGGCATTTGTCCTTTCCATGGAACCGTTGGTCGTGGGATTGATGAGCTGGGAATGCGTTGTTGCCCTACGCTGCCTTCTGTGGGATATGCCACTGGCAGCCGCATTTCGTGTTCAAAGATACAATATTATTGTGTCAATTGCAGCAATAATTGGCTCTAGTTGTTCAGCGATTTGTAATGCTGGATCCAAAACCTTTCTTAGTGTGTCAAAGAATCCTATGTGTTAAAAATTGATTCGTCCGTTGAGTTACTGCTGTAAGCTACATTTGTCACGTTTTTCCAATAATTTATCTTCGCAAGCCACGTCGCCCATTGTCTGAAGTTTGCGTACGTATGGAGTAATAAGTTCTCCGGTCACTAGTATCGAGAGAGCAATTGTCAGCAAAGCTCATTGGGACAACCGGAACTGTCCAGTGAGCGACAGAGAACGGTAAATGATTCCAACAAATTATTCTGTTGTAAAATTTCACTCTCGGCCATAACATCCTGGGCATTTAACAAGAGCTCCGCTTTGTGAAACTGAGAACTGCTGTATACATGGATGTACCAGCTTTTCCTCACGAGTAGGGCATGTGCGATTAATACCGTCTGGGCTCTGTTAACACGGAGGTGTAATTTTTGCCAGCTATTCAAGAACTTGGAAAATGTATTCATGGTTTAAACGTTTCCGCAGATGGGTCAAATGCAACAGCTATGTTTCATAGAGTTGCTTAGCTGACATTGGCGTTGTTACATTTTTCTCACAGAGTTGAAATGTTTTTGTAGCAATAAACGCAGGGAAAACATATTGCTCGAACCCAGAGGTAGTATCATACAACCCGCAGCAACATAGTTGATTTGCCATATTTCGCTTTTCGTGAAATCGCACGACCAAATTCCTGCAGAGTATATAAATGTATGCTGTAACCACAAGTGCACCGGCTCGGTGTCTGTTCTTATCTTCTACCGTAATGTGAAAAGGTGGCTTTGAGAGAATGAAAGCATCTGAAGCAAATAAATAAACAGTCGTTTATAGCTGCTAAGTGTGCGGAACGTTCGTTATTATTTCGCAAAATCAGATCTAGGTGAAAATAAGGGTACTACTTCACCAAGTGGGAATCATGCATCTTGCGCAAGAAACCAGAATTCAGTTGTACTGTTCGGCCAACTGGCAACTCTCTCCAACATATTTCCTTTTGTTAGGTCATAGCCGCCTATTTTATAACCTGAATTCTGCCAACTAGATTGAAATAGATTAAGGTAAATATCTCTTTACTCCAGCTATTTCTAAGTAAGCCTGATTTTTATTAGCAAATTGCAAATACTTTTAATTCTCTCCGTTTCCGCACAAATATTATTCAAAGTTGAAGCCTCCACAAGCTGGAACGCAATTTGCTGCCTTTCAGATCGCGTGCAGGATGCTGTAATTCGTTTATAGTCACCTTCACAACACCAACCTTGACGTAGCACCTATTTACATTTGACAAAGATAATTCACTGATTCCGGCCAGCTGAAATTCAGGATGCAATACTGCTCATACAGAAATACCTTCACTCTCTTGCGAAATGGTGACACCTGGATGAGGAAATTCTCGACGAAATAATTTATAATCGTGTATCACGGCTGCTCGAAACTCGAGTGAACAATTAGAATCAAGGGCAAGATGCTAAGATATAATATCGGATCCACATGACCACACACAGAGAAAAACGAATATTGTTTACCAAACCTGTGCTAGGCAAAATATCTACTAAGATTTCTCGGGAGCGCTGTCAACTGTTTCCGCTTTATCCGCTTTGACTACGAATATTGATACATAACCTGATACTTCCGTACAATATGATGCATCGAAACACCCACCGATATTTACCTTCTCTAGAATTACAACATAGTTCGACAAGGGAGATACACCATAAGGAGTTTACTCTGAGTGTATCCAAAAGCAGTGTAGATCTGTGATCTAACGTTTTCCTTGGTAGATATGCTGTCCTTTGGATTAAGTTCCCAGTCACAATATGGCGGTGTGAGAGCGCGTCGGCTTTTTGCGTTAAGCTCGCCAAGTACCTAGATTTAAATACGATTTTGACTTTATTCTCTTGAGAGAGATCACTTGATTATTTTTACCAAAAAGAGGCAGACAAAAACTAAAGAATAAAATAATATTTCATTCTATATGACACAACCCAGTGCTGTTACTATTCACTATTACTACTACTGCACGTGGCGCCGAAACAGCAAAAACCATGAAAATCACATACATGTTGATCATTCACACAAGCGCATAACATATCCTGTAAAAGAATATCGGTGCCAAACATGGCCATAGTTTCACAGTCAATGATAAGTATACGTAATATTTCCATTGATTGCTACCTGAGCTACCATAATTGCTCAAATCCGTAACATCTGTGACTCGCGTTATTCGCTAGTACTTGAATGAGACCCTGCAAGTATTTGGGGGTAAAATATTTACCATGCCGTTTGTCGCAACCGATTATTGTTAGTTAAGGTATGAACAACACTGTGGTTTTGATTTTGCTTTCATTCTCATCATCAATTGTAAGCTGACGACATATCTGTCATTTTGATTATGCTACAACTTTGTTTTGACTGTTTCAGTTAGAAGGTAGCGGGAAATATCTATACGACTTCTTGATCATCTTTGACGGCCCGGACTGTATGGCACCACGGCTCACAGTAGCATCTCACCCAAGACACCAACGCTCAATTACCTCCCAACATAACAAAGTGTCGTTATTATTTATCAGTGATTATTCAAATCAACATAGCGGTTTCCACCTCAGATACAAACCAGGTAAGTCAGTGTTCATGCAGGTGGTCAGGTCTAATAATTTATGTATCAAGTTTTTCAAAATGAATTCCATTAAACGATTGACATTATAAAACTACATATACTGGCTAGTTTAAACAACGCATAACTATTTATTGCTCATGAGTAAATAGTAGGTAATTAACTAGCTTCATAGAATGGATCATTTAGAAACCACAGTATACAATTATATTTTTGTCGTAGGTTTTTTGTAAACGCGTTCCTGAATAAAAGCAGTAAAAAATGCTAAGCTCATTCAAGTCTACAAGGAAAGATGGCCTAGAGTTGTAGCTGACGTATTTCGTGTAAAGCTCAAGGTATGTACACAGACTCGAGTACTGTATCTTGAGAACCATGTGAAATATAAATCCGGGATAAATGGATGCGTAATTTATCCCAATTAGCACAGAATAATCAATAAATACATAAGAGCTAAGGACAATGTCAAATTAATTTTCGAAAATATTCATATTGGGTGGCCATATCTGATTTTAGGGAGCATTTTAATGTTGACAAAGTAGAAAGTTGGTTACGAAACGCTAAATAAAGAGGGTTACCCCAAAATGTTACTCCAAACATTGTCAGCTGAGACCAAAGACCTAGTGCACATGGACACCTAGGTGCTTGTTGTCATTATATTGCCACTCAACGGTGCCTTCTTTTCGTGGAGGACCACATGACTTCTGATCATTGTCATGCAGACATTACATTGCCACCAAGGTCCTTATTTTGATCAAAACAAAAGCGTCGCATACTTCCGCAACAAGCTTGCAAATCGAGGGCAAATCACATTACATAAATAAATGTAGGTGACCACGGTACATGTTACATAGGCAGAACCGATTACACTTTAGGTTATCGCATGATGGAGCATGGTCCTATGTAAGCCCCACGGTCGATCATCAGCAAAGTGGCAAAATTCAAACTGCTTGCTTACAAGAAAACCGACCTCTTTGATCGGACGGCAATTATCGAACACAGCTCACCGAATCTGGGTCACCTCCGGGTTCATTATCCTATTACTTAAAACCATACGCGTCTCCTCCGTTTTCCAAAGGCGATTGCAAGTGACCGGATTAAACCGATACCTAGTGTTGAGAAACACACATCGGTAAGCCTTCGACTGCTTGGAGGATTGGGGTAAAAACGCTTGCGCGTTTTGTTTGTTAGTTTGTATGTGGCCGAAATTCTTGGTTGCGTCCTGCCCTGAATAAAATAAGTTGCCAAGTACAGTTAAAGTCATTAAAGACGCAATACGTAATGCATGTATTTGCCAGTCCTCGTGTCTTTATAAAGCGCATTTCCAAATAATCCCGTCACTAAGCTTGACAGTACTAGTTGGTGTTTGTGTTGTGGTTGTTTTAGCAAATGGCAGAATATATAGTATACAAATTGTTGATATGCTTCTTGATGTATGCGCGTATTGCTTTGTAGCAGTAATGTCCCCCAAAAGGTTACCAAGATATGCACAATGCACTATTCGGCCCTAGTAATGGGATATAGGAAAACGCATGCTAATTATTTTCGTGGGATAAGAACGTCAACCGCTTAGTTAGTTAGGGCCTTGAATGCCTAACATGAGGGCAACTGAGAGTTTGCTGTATTCGATCGAAGCAGGTCTCAATTCTCAAATCTATTTCCTTTGTTTCAGGCTGTGACTGCTTTTCATCAGCTGAAATTTTAAAGTTTATTAATTAGACTACGATCGTTTTGCTTTAAATCGCAACTGAATGAACTGCTTAATTCGCGTTATAATTGATTGGACTTCCGTTAAATTTTGACGGCATTATATCTGGCTCGGACTTCCTGTTTTAATTTGTGAAAAGAACTTTGCATATTTGGGGAGGACAACGTCACGTTCAGTATAACTTTGTTGCCCCAACCCTTTGTAATAGTAGAACCGCAGCACAAATCCGGCCTTGACCTTGAATTGACTCGGGAGTCTCACGTGTTGCTTGAATCCACCGCCGATTTGAGGTTAATCGTGCTTGACAATCCAGGATTACTTGTTCAATATTCGGAACTTGGACGAGGTCGTCAAGAAGAATGTCGGCACGGAAGAACGCTAGAAATTTTGATGAAAATGGCAATTTGAAAGCTTTATTGCTGCGACAGAGGATCTTAATTCTCAGTCTAGCTTGCCGGTTAGTATGAGGACTATGGAAAATATTAGAGTTTGGATGGACGCCGACGCTGCGATTATAGCATTGGAACATGAAGAATGGAAGCAACCCAGTTGTTGGCTCTAGAGAAAGTGGAGAATCATAGTCTGTCACCGCTGAGAAGGACAAACCTTGTTAACCGGTCGATTGAAACATGTAGTGAAGCTAAGGAATGTTGCGAAATACATTATCGAAAGATATCGAGCCTCCCAAAGGGAGTACAAAACTTGTCAGTTGTCGCTGATCAACTCCATTGGATTGGTTGTCAACTGGAACCCCCCATGGTGGAACTTGAATAGATTTACTGTAATTCGGCCACGTATTTTTCATAAAGTAATTTGAGTAGCAGGTTCTGAATGATAGGCAGCGATTCCTACATTTGTTGTACTACTGTCAAAATCGGACGAGACTTTCAATCAGCTCTAGCCACGAACGCCGCGAATATTTGCTTTACCGTGCTGGATTTTGATTTTCTTTTATGAATACTGTACTATAAGTGTTTTCTCTGCGTGAATTGTGACCCAATAGTTTACTTTGTTGTATTTTTCCATCTGTGCGAATTCGGTCGATGTTCTTCTGCTAATGTCGGAGATCTCCCTGATTGGCCCAACTGCGGTCGGTGTCCGCCATCTTTGATCTGTGCTACAGCATTCTAACCGGTGTCCGCTTGACCGATAGATTTTGGATTCCGCATACCAGTTGCAACAAACGACTTCCACATATATGACAGTCAGATTGGCACGCACTGATTGCCCGCGGAAAGCAAGCCTAAAGCTTCCGAAGTGAACGCTAGCTGTGGCGTTGACAACTGTGTAAATCTTTTGCGATTTTGAATAGAAAACATAAGCTGCCGAAAACACATACACTCTTTATGTGCACACGTTAGTCTCAGTCAAATAAATAACTTAATAGCACGACCGATTCTCTCTGGTTCTATTCTGAGTGTACTTCTCGTCCACTTATAAGATTTACAACTGTTTTGGCTGAGGAAGATTGTAGATTGTCGAAAAAGTTATTACTCAATTGACATCAATTTACCACTATCACTTAACTACTAAAGGTCTGGTCCCCGAGTGATACAAGTATTATTGCACTACTAACTGAAGGCAAAACATGTGAGCAAAACGTGGCACAAGTGGCCCACAATGCTGCCTTACAAATTCTTATAAAGACTATATTCACCGGGCCACAAATAGACAATGTAGCACTGAGCAGACAAGTTGGCGAAACCATTTTGTCACCAGGCAGCTCATAACGGAGACAGTGGCAAAACACACCGGCAGCTGAAGTAGGAAAGGATAGTCACCTTCTTGTTGGAGCTAAAACCTCTTTACAACAATCTGAACTGACTCTAGGGCTTGTGTCATCGGTCCCACAAAAAGCGGCCTGCAGCCAACCCAGCAACGGTAGGCATAAACTCTCGCCCAAAATCAACTTTTACAAACACGCTTCTAACAACCGATGCCCTCACTTGCTTGTACACAAATGCACAAGGCCTTCTCAGCAAGCTGACCGAACTTCGCACTTGTCACGTTTTCACGTTTTGGGTCCTGTTTATAGTAACCAAAACATGACTGAACCCTGAAATAACCATAGATTAGTTTGCTCTACCCCGCATAATTTCCATACCATACGCTTGATTTAGAAGCGGAAGGTGAGTGCTTCTGTATTATCGACACAACCTGCACGTTGATATAACTGAGGACCAGAAACGAAAGTCATCGATTCTCATTGGTGTCCTATACACTTAAGACGTGGTGATGTGTGTTTACAAGCAATAACTTATCACCCTTTAATGCCCACCTTGGAAATGGATCAACGCCTAGCTCCAGCAATGAATAGACTACTGTCACGACCCTAGAGTAACGTCATTTTGGTGGGAGACATCAATGTGCACGCAATCGAAGTTCTAGCACCGCACAGCGTACAATTCGAGGCTGATTTGCAAGAAGTGATCGCCGATGTACCTATGAAAATCCATGGCACCTCTCACACGATATTCCGAACGGGTGACACAACCTCTGTTTTGGACCTTGTGCTCTCCAACGAGGAATTCATGGTCGATACTATGACCATAGAGGCACCAGGTGATCGTAGCGATTACGCGATGTTGCTGATTTGTTGCATCTGTTATTCGGAGTACGTCAGTGAGAACATGGAAACCTATGCCGTTACACATTATGAAATATTGTCCAACATCGTTCAAGAAAGCGAATGATCCTTCCTAGCCGAGAAGTCGCCCGATGTTGCTTGAATGTCGTTTGTCATGCAATTCGCTGAGCTAGTGGCAAGTGCGTCAGAAAATAGGGTCCTTCGCTCGGAACAAGTGAATTCGTTCCTGTGGAGCCGTACTAGAAACCGCATGGCCGTAAAGATCCGGCCTGGCACGCTTGCATACTCCGTCCAAGTAACCTGACCTGAGGTGCTCACACAATTCAACAAAACCACTGCTTCAAGTTGATCCGCGAAGAGATACTCCAGCATCAACAAAGTTAGCGACGAAAATCAGTACAAATAAAGTCGCAGTATAAACACGTTAACATGATCCGCAGAGAGCAGCGCAGAATCCCGGTTTTACGTGCAACAGATGGTCTTGAGCAAACCGCACAAGATGCAGCCAACTTGCCTCGCCAACACTTCATCCACACTTTCGGGAGTGAATCAACATTTCATCCGACTTTCACACAGCTTCTTTCGCCATCGGGTTTCAAACACTTATCGTTCACGGCAGCAAAATTAATGCAAACGCAACTGTAATTGCGCGTGAACAGAAAAGTTTGCGCGGGCGACATCTAATTTAAGGTACTGAAGACTGCAGCCATGAACATTGCCGAAATATTGGCCCAGTTCTATCAAGGTTGTCTCGACGAAATGCGAGTTTTGACTATGTGCAAACATGGACTAGTCACGCTTGTTTACATAAGTGGCAACCGTTCGGTACCCTCGAACTACCGTCCAATCACTCTCATCCCAGTTAAATCCAAACCAATGGAACTTAAATTTTAGAGGCGCCCATGGGTCAACTTCAGAATGTTAAAATTTTATTGCCACAGCTACAAGGATTCAGCCAAAAACGGTCCTGCACTACACACTTGCTGCTAGCCCGATCAAGCTGGACTGAGTCAGCCGTTGCAAGAATGGGAGTCGCCGTTGTCTAGCCGGCCTACTAGAAAGCTTTCTATCGTTTGGACCACCGCATCGTCCTTCACAATCTTCGAAGCTATGGAATCGATGACCCTATACTCGGTTGCATCGGCAATTTCCTCGCTCAACGTCAGCTGAATTTGAGAGTCCGCAACTTCATGTCCGACCCAAGTGACCTTAAGTGTCTCTTGTTAAATGCACCGGTAATAGGGCCACGTTTATTCCTGGCATTCATTAACCACATTGCCAGTGTACTGCGGCCGAATTTCTCAATAGTGGCAGATGATGTCAAAATTTGGCATAGTATCAGGACATCGGATGATCACATGGCATTGCAGAGCAATCTAGACAGGGCTTATGCGTGATCATCCGACAAGCGGCTTCAGTTCAACGGGACCAAGTGCAAATTCGTAAGCATACGCCATCAATTAATCCATGAACATCGACTTAGGGACCAGCAGTTAAAACGTGCTTCCCAGGAATGCAACCTCGGGGTGATCGTGCAGTACGATCTGGATTGCTTGAGTCAGGCTGACAAATCATCGAAATTAGCTAGTCAATATCTTGTACTCTTGCAATGGACCTTCCGCAATTTTGAGCTATCAATATTTCCGCAAATGCTGGATGTCTACATGTGGCCTCACGTGGAATATGCGATCCAGGCTTGGCGTAAATGGCGTAAGCGCGAAGTGGATGCAACTAAAGCTCTAAAACGTAGATCGACAAAACTCTTTACAGGATGGTTTCATCTCTCCTACCAACGAAGACTGCAGTCCCTGAAATTGTACAGTGTTGAATTTTAACGTCAGTGAGGAGACCTCATCATGATTTACGTAGTACAGACAATCCCAACTCACTCATTTCGCAATCCGTTGCAGCTGAGCAAAATACCATCCTGAGAGGTCGTGAGCTCAAACTATCAACACACATTTGGAATGATTGTCGACGAAGTTGTAGAAATGTCCATTTGATTAGACTGGATTTATCTAATTTGAGTTACCACATCTGTCAAATGAATCAACACACGAGTGAACGTTGTCTTTTCCATTTTTATTTTTTACGCACTTACTGAGATATGACAGCTCTCGATACTGTTTGCGCATCTCCTTCACACTTCAAACTATCGTTATGTTGTAGTGTATTTAATATGGTGAACGCTTGAAGTAACGATTTACTTTTTCGATGCTCAGTTAAATTTCAGTTTTATTTCTACCATCATACGGGACTCGTTAATCACAGGCTGTATACCAGTGATAAATCATCGTACTTTTTCGTTTTTCCAAGGACTGAGGTTAGTGTATGCAACTTTATTTAGTTAACTTGCTTTAACATCTTTATTCCGGTCTCAAGTAATGGATTTTTGGCATAGAAACAGTCCAGTAGTCAATCCAGACCCGAGTTGGTTCTTTCCACACAATCTCTGCTATGTTAACCTTCGGGTCTGATGAGAGTTTACCGAAAGGAATTGTTCCGCTTATCGATTTCTCTTATTGGTTTATATTAGCAAATGAAAATATTTGTTTTTCTGAAGACTCGCATTTCCCGAGATTCAGTGAATATTTTTTGGTGTCTTACCACTTTGTATATTTAGCATGGTAACCCATTTACGGCCTTGAAGGTTGAATTTACTAGGGATTCTCACGCATCGCTCGAATCCGCCTCCGATGTGACGGTAACAACCCCTTTGACACCAGGTTTCAATAAATGAAATATAGTAACGCTTTAAATAAGAAGGTTTAGTCCAAACTCGAGGTATGCCATCCACTTACTAAACATCAGAAAGCAGGTAACAATGTGAATAATGCTGAGGATTTTGTTAATTATTTGTTACATTTTTAAAAGCACTGAACCAGATTAGGACTACATTTTTCCTGAGATAGTAACTGCGCTACACTCCTAGAGGCACAAACAAGCAAAAACCTTGCGGATATAGGGGAAGTATATAACGATAACATAGGTCACATCAATTAAATTAGATAATGACAAGTGCCTTTTAAGTTAACTGATAGAATATGCTGCAGGAACATACAAACATGCTGTGCAACCTATCCCGTGCTGAGTGCGAAAATATGGCATCCGTTTTGGCAAGAAATAGAAGCAGAGGAATATTTTTTCTACGAATTATTCAAGTTCGAGGCAGACATTATATTGCATGGTTTTATATATTTCACTTCATGTAACCGAGCACCTAATGTATAAAAATAAAAGGCGTTTTGGAATTAAATGTTGCGCAGGATTATTCACATCTAAGATTTCATATATAGCCTCCATATGTTGACCAACTTGGTCCGTTCTGTTGAGTGGTCAGCTTAGGGAAGTACTACTGTATACATCAACGTCTGTTGCAGTTCACGATTTTTATTTTTGCACAAAATGTTTGACCCGCTTGCCACTGCAGAATTGCTGTTGTCGGTAGACTTGGTTCAATATTTGTGACACTTGGAACCAGGGCAAATGGAGAAATGTATAGAATTTTGTCGCAGTTAGCTTGGAATAACTGACGCGCGACCATAGTTCCCCATGCATCTTGTCACATGCTGTTGAATTGTTGGACATGTACCCATTTAATATAACTCATTATTTTGTTTTGCTGTTCGACTTGGGGATACTCATCTTTGAGGAATATCAATAGGACGAATCTGTCTTATGGCGCTGCGTTGAACCATATTTCCTTCCTGGCATGTGTGCAATCGTACAATCGTATATTAAAGGTACTGCGTCAACTGCTGTCTTGTCCCTAGCCTAGACAAGATCCACATCCTTTAATAGCCATTGATTACGTGTTCTCGTAATCTGTAACTGATGCGCAAACCACATGTTATATCTAGTATCCCTTGGACAATTTCAAAACAAATCAAATGCATCTTCCCGATATATGGCTTGTCCGGTTCTCACATCGGTTCATACCTCATCTATGCTTCATGGCTGCACGTAAAGATTGAACTGGGCTATAAATATGTAGTGACTTCTATGACTGTCCATAACCGGCCAGTATGAAGACCTTAAATAAGAATCTCTCATTCCAATCTATATGGATTTCAGATTTCTGTTTCTTTGGCCATAGTGTTAACAGTTTTTAGATGCATTACCCTTTTGGTGACTAGATTTCGCGCTATTTCATTCGACATATGAGATAATACTTGGTAAGGAAAGTAAACAAAGCACGTTTTTGGGCCTTAATCCAGCAAGCCAAAGCAACTGTACCGATCAGAGTTTATCAACCAAATGCTGGCACTTGCCAACCGTGATTAAATGGAGTGTGAACAGTTACTGATTGGTCATTGTGAGACCTATTCACAGGAAAACGGGGCGGGTGATCTTCAGCATCAATGCTAACGACGCAAGCCACGTTTGCTCAGATTCTGCCTCCCTTGATTCATTCTAGTTGCATATTTGTCGTTACGGGGAAATTGTCAGTCGATCTAGAAAATATCTAAGTGTCCAGACACACAAAGCGTGGTGATTGGAACTAGAGTACACCTGCCACCTCATTTATCTATTTGAACATGTAATGGCACGCGAATTCAAAAGAAAGGCGATGGGAAAAGCGAATTCCTGCGCTTTTGTTCGTTTTAACATGTAGCTATTGGAAACGTGGTTTGAGCTGCAACAAATACCATTTGGAAGAGAGAACCCAGCCAATGGCTTACTATATCAAGCTTCCGTGATTGATCGCTTAACATTAATTTATTTTGGTTAATCAATAGTAATGTTATGAGCAATATTTACGTATCACTCTCACAGGAATCCTGGTGTAAGCATCGTATATTTATTTATTATTTGCTTCAGCTACCGGTGAAAGAAGCGGAAGTCACAATGGTAAATCTCGTATATTCACTGGTATGAATATTGCGTATAGTATCTAAACACAACTAACATTGCTGTGCAGTAGAACATAAACTCGCCTACATTAATCGCAAGCTTTATATACAGGATGGACTAACAGCTACGCAAGCACACGGACAGTTAAATGCAAACATGAATACAACTAGTTTCACTCATGCTTAATATTTTATAAATTGATGAAACAAGATCAACGCAATCTTCGTCATTTTATAAATACCTGCAATTAATTGTCATATTTGACAGGGCTGGATATCAGTATGTTATCATTTATGGCACAGTTTCCCATTAAACTTTCCATAGAAAAGCTTGAACATCAATGGCAAAACAATTTACAAAGTGGTTTTACTATCGTTATGGTGGGACAAATAAATATGTGCACATAGGTCACATAATTAGGAGAACATAACCCAATATTTTATTTAGTGCCTGCTAGGATTTACATTACGTCCAGAATAGATTTGCGTCTAAGGCATGGGTAAACTACTAACTTCAAATAAGTAGTTGTGTTCATTTAGCTAAATGCATTTTTACTAATTTATTCAATCATTTAAATGAGTTTTCTTAGATATCCTTTGCAAATACTCTTAAGGCTGAGATAATTGTCATAGCAGCGTCGGGTTCGTCAAGGAATTTAGATGGATAATATTAGATTGTGCGTTCTTGTGCAGGACGACTGCCGAAAAACTTAACATCAGTAAAAATAATCGGATAATGGAACACGGTGTAACTGCGTATTACATGATATATCTGAATCGGTAAGTGGAAATCTGAGCAAACACAAGTGAGCTATAATTGTGTGTAACAAATTGGTGTGTACTGGCCAAAGCATCTATTGCATTCCAGTAGGCTACGATTTTTACTTCCGTTGACTTTGTTAAGTGAAGTAGGTTCAATCCGCTTATGTATATTTCAGTCGAACATATTTACCAGCCCATGTTACGTGAGTTATATTTTGCTGCAGCCGATTTATGTACATCCCTTTAAATACTGCATGTCACACCACTTGAAACTGATGCAACCACGGCAGCTAGGTGGGTAGTACGGTTTTGCGACTCAAACATCTAAGGCATATTTCGTGGTGAAAATATTGTTTAGATACTGACAATATTGCTAACCTCAATTGTGTCATCTGTAGCTGAAACCAATATGCGAAGGACTTAGATTTCAACATATCTTTGAGTTCTCTGTTCCAGTATGTATCCCTTAAGCCAAATAGCAGCACAAGTTCAAGTGTGTCGTCCTTTCGTGTTTTGCCGGGAGATATTAGTTTGTTGCTTCGAATAGCATTGTACACAAATGGGTTAACAACATCATCCGTGGATTTATTTGCTCGACATTACCTTGTCCGTCAAATTGTAAGCTAATTGCTTGTTCTCATAATTACGTGAGTTTCAATGCGAGCTGAACATGCTAACTTAGGTATGCGGTTTAAAATTGCCCGCAATGTGCGTTAATTTTATAATGTGAACAATGCTACTGAAATCATGGTCAATATCATCAATAAGAATGTGATCATGACACCTACAGTCATAGAAATTTATAGTTGTATTCTCAACCATTTCGTCTAAGGCTAACAAATATAACTTGATAAGGAAGGGTAATTTTGCGAAAAACGTGGATGAAATAACCGAAACTATAAATTATTTCGACTAATTAACTGTTTAGGACTAAAAATGTTGCTTCGCGCTCCGACATATGCCGCTTTAGTAGTATGGTGGATGAATATATAGTAAGTCAAATATAAATATTGATTTAGCCTTCCTTTATCTTCAAATTTCATCTTATAATAGCCGTATTCATTACTTCTTAAGTATTTTTGTGTTGGCTAGAAAGGTTTCTTCGTCGGAGAAATGTGAACTGACTACTAAATGCAAATGAATTTTACCTCTTATTCAATGTAGTTATTATGTATACCTGGAGAATTTGTCTTATTAAAATCACTGGCTGCAATAAACTTAACTTACCGCGGTATGTTACCATTCCGCACAAGCTATGCAAGATGACACATTCGAAAATTTTAAGTAAAAGCTTGCTTTTAGGGAACGTTATCATAAATTCCGTCAAAAGGCTGTTATATTGATTCATAGTACCAATAGAACCAAAGACGATGCTTGCATATTTTAAAGGAACAAAATGTGTCCGTTTCATGTAGCTGACAGACATAGTTGTTTCTGCTAATCTAGACAGTAACAGAGATCCTGTAATAGTAGTCTATCTGCCATCTGATTTGTTATTCAATATGATACTGATATTAGAGGCTCAAATTAGTTAATAGCAGCTGCGGATACGGTGCATTCTGTGCAGTAGTTTGTCTTGTTCAGCAGACAATCGGAAAATTAACCTAACATGGACTCTCAATGGGACAATGTAAGAGCCCTTTATTTAACTTTGAAGATACTAGTAAATTACTAATATACATAAGCGTATAGCAATACTTTAAATACTTCCCACATACTGCAAACACAACCCGGGTAATTTGTCATGGTGGTCATTTTACAGGCAACTGCGGAACGGAGAAAAATTCAAGCACATCGAATGATATTTACTGGAAAGGAGAATCTCCGGGAAACCAGTTATGTATTTGGAGGATCAGAGCCAACAAAGCAGAGACAGTTTCACTGAAGATTAATCATCTGCAGGTTAGATGGAAGCGATCATAGCCATATGTGCTTCATATGTGAATAACATGCGATCGAATTAGGTTGATTGTATAATCCCAGCACCTCAACAAGTTAGCAAATACTGGTAACAATTTGGCCAAGATTAAACCTCCATTGTGCAAAACCTGCACTGTATAAGGCTGACTCATTAACAACAAACATATATGGCTGATAAACACCTAGATTTGTTTAGTAGTATTTAGTCATGTTGGGCGCACCACACGATATCTGGAATTAGAAACAATGAGCACATTCAAAAGTGGCTCAGCATGCATGTTCAAAAGGTGCCGACTTCACAGAGAAACTCTGAACACTATGCTGCAACACGAATTTTAGGCTCCCTATACGGACCGGGCTCATTAGCTAAAATATTTTGGAAACCAAGGTTTGAATAAACATCCCGATCGAAACTTTCATTGACTCAAACATTACTGGACGAAGCGTGCTTAGCGCTTACTGACAATTATTACCTTGTCCCAGTCTTACTCAAGTTGGCCAACTTGTTGTTTGCTTTTTATGACGGTCTTATTACTATTGTATAGGGGTTAAAATTCCACTCTGCTTTCCCCTATATCTGTTTCGCATTGCCCGGAAGCTGTTGTTTTTGATGGCTTGGATATTGAGGCTAGCCTAATCTATGGCAGTTCAAGCTACATTTATCCATGAACTGACAATTTTGGCGGCATCCAGTGTGATGTTTGTATACGATGGGACCGCCAGTTTTGTACGGACATGAATACCGAGCAACACGCAGTGGTGACCTCCAGCAACAGGTTGATTTTCATTTGCATACAAAATGGGACACAGCTCTTGATACCTGGGTGCGAACGTTAGAGCATGCATTATCTATTCTCACAAAGCTTTACCGGTAGAATGATATGTTCATGACGAAGCTTTCGGTCTCCAAAAACTTAGTTGCTATTACTTACAGTTCAGACCAACTTGTGAAACCAAGCATTGTGTCATCCGTCCAGATGACGCCGGACCACATAGATGAAGTTGCTTCGAACATCGTACTAGCTCTACTTTGATTGAGGCTAAATTACTGGTTCAAAGGTCCAATAGAGGAAGAAGAGGGGTAGAAAACACTTGAGCTCCCAACTAAACAAAAAGCTGTAGTTGTCTCGGCAACGGAAACCAAGCAAAGTGACATAACTTGTCAAGTTATCTAAAGGTAGTGCAAAGGATAATTTTCACACGCGCTACTTGTCCGCCAGTACTGGGTACCTCAGCTCTCCTCGATAAACGCGTTACGACATTTTGCTTTACTCTTCACAAGACTACGAAGCATCACGGGCCACTGCTTCCGTTAGCAAGAGAATGACAGAAACTATTATAAAGCATTTGGGTGTTCTCGAAGACCCAAAAATTAGATGCAAACAATGAAGCAAAATCTACGTGGCGGTTACTATATCAAACAGGGTGAACACCACATTACCATCTTCAGTGATGAAGACACCTGCCATAAGTAGAGATGCAACGAAAAGAAGGAAAATACCCCTTGTGAAAATGATACCTGGATAGTAGCATTTTAGTCAACAACCTGGCAACTATCAATTGTCAATCCCGTAGAATCTCAAGTTGTAAGACATACTGTAGTTTAATATGTACCTAAAGAAGCGTTGACCGAACATAAGAGAAATCCATGCCACAAAACCGCAGAACCGTTTCATGATTACAGAGAATGTTTAAACATTCAGATAACCGATCCTGAGATCAATACACCCAGCAAGTCGTTGCTTTAGAACGAGGGAACTGGAAGGGGTGTTGGTGCGCTTAGTCATTATACTACAAATCATTGATGTAAAGTTATCGATCACCCGGAAATCCGCTCTCCTGATTCGCCTTGGTGCTGTTTCTCGTTGCGAAACTAGGACACATGTCTACTAACCGTGATTTACCACCCATTTAAACCCAAGGTCGGAAATGAACTTTAAACTGTTTCCCTTTGATATGAACAAGTCCTACACCCATATTCTTATCGTTGGAGAATTTGGTGTGCAAGACATAGAAACGCCAACAACCGACAGTACGCAAATCAAAGCCTACGTGCAACAGATAATTGCTAGCCACCTCCTGTACAAACACATAACCTATCAAACCAGATTTCGAACTGATAACAAGCCACCGATATTGGGACTTGTGCTCACTGCCGAAGAACTCATGGTTGACGGGATAGTTAAAAGCACACCACTGGGTCTTAGTGATCATGTTACTCAACTCTTTGTCCATATTTGCTAAGCGGAGTATCCCTGAAAGGCAGGATGAAACAGTACTTCCTCTCATGCACTACAATGCGTTACCTACATATGTTAAGGATATATCTTGGACTTCCTAAACCGGATACTCTCCTGATTTGGCTGGGAAGCCTTTGCAAGGACGTTTAGCATATCGTTAGCACAAGCATCGGAACATATGTCATTACAACACAAAAACAAGCACAAGTAATTTTTGTGGAGCAGTACATGCAAATGTAAGTCCCGGAAAGATTTGGTGTGGTGAGCTCAGAAGGACGGCTCGAATGCCGGAACCGAGACTGCATACATGACACACTGTAAGTTCTGTGTGGAACCCATTCTCGAAAACAAAGTCACGCATCATCAAGAGTTAATGAGGCGATTCTGCTTAAACCGCCAACTCATGTACGGTACGTTAAAGGCCTTCGAATTGTGACGCAGGGGGTTCCAGCACTACTCAAGGCTGATAGATGCACGAGGTCAGCTATGGAAGCAGCTAATCTCCTACGGATTCGTTACTCCCAAAATTTAAGTAGGAAACGTGCCCAAATATTCGCCTCGTTTCTATTACTCTGCAGTCGGGATTACAAAACATTACCTTCAATGCGGAAGTTGTGTCGAAGAAGGTGTTATCCTTGCGTATTCACATTTATCCTGGAGTCGGCCACATCCGAAAAAGGCTTGGTAAGCAGTAGCTAGCAACCTAGCAGAACCACTGTCTGTTTTCTATCAGCGATGTCAAGACCAAAGCCATATTCCATCAATATGGAAGCGAGAGGTCATCACTAATTCCAGAAAAGATTTAGCCCCACTGAACCTACAAGCTACTATACAAAAACACTTATTCATTTAGTATCCAAACTGATGGAATCAATCATCTCAGATGCCCTGATTCACCATCTAAATAGCCTCAAGTTAATAGCCCCAGGGCAATCTGAATTTCGTTAAAAGCTTTCATGTAATGCTGTTTTTGAATTGCCTATAATAGATAGACTGAAGCTGTTGAGGGTGGAGCAGGAGTCGATGTCATCCAACTGGATTTCGCAAAAGCAGTTGATCGTGTAGACCATGGAATTCTTCTTCAAAAGCCTCGGTACTACAACGCTAGCAACCCCATCCTGAGTTGGATTAGATATGTTCTACACAATCAACGACTAGAAGTGAACGTCCGACAAGCATTACCCAATGTAATCGATGGGGTGTGTGGTGTATCACAGGGCTCGGTACATGGACCTCTTCTATTCTTCGTGTTCATTAACGATTTGGCGAGAGCAATTCCTTCGGATTTCCTGGTTTCTGTTGAATATATCAAGATATGGTGAAGGATCAGAAAACCGGATAAACACGAAGAGCTCCAATTCGATGTTTGCACGGTGTAGAACTTGTCATTTAAAATGCCCTACCGTTCCTGGTGGAACAATTTTGCGTTGTGCAATTACACCATGGATCTGACTACAAATATACCATTTCAATTTAAAATGGACATTTTTCAAACCACATTGGATATTTGCAAACCAAACTGGACATTATGCAAACCACATTGGACATTTTGCAAACCAAACTGGATATTTTGCAAACCAAACTGGACATTTTGCAAAACAAATTGGACACGTTGCAATCTAAGTAGCAACTGGCCGATTTGTTGGTAAGAAACGAGCAGTAAGACTGCTGAATGATGTTCAGAATATACATTGTGATGACGCTAATACACCGGCATTGTGTAAGCAGCGGGCTACACTGTAAAACATTTGCTTGATCGTGAGCAGCGACCGAAGTTCTGAACTACGCTCCCCTCTCCCCATTGACATTCGCCTAGTTGGTGTGCAGTGCCCATACGCATCAACCTGTGTAGGTGTGTGACAGTTGGAAAATCGGACTTCCGAATCGTAATTGTGTATCAATCATTTTGTGAGTGGATTGCGATGCGCAATCTCAATGCGCACCGTTATTCTCATTAGAGGGAACCTTGTCCGATTCGGTCAATGCGACCATGTCGGATGAAGCAGGTAGGCGGTGTCCCAGCTTCGCCCGTCTCTCTATTAGCTTTCGCAACTGCCACGTTATTGTATCAGCGTAGGCTGTAATGACCCCCAGCAAAACCAGTCTAGAGCTATAGCCTATTGTTGCAACATATCAACTACTGAGGAGTGGGCCGATTACACGATGTTCAGGCCACATTGTGGTCACGATAATGTAACCGAACTGCGTACTTAGTGTGTGATTGTGTAAGCCCTTCTCTTGACATGAGTGCCGTTCGCCTCGGTCAAAATCGGTGACCTATTTTCCCCTACACCCCCCCCCCATAGGAATTCGTGTGTTTTGTCTGGGTGTGTGGACTGACTTATGCAGCGGTACCACTATTGGAGCCGAGCATACGATAATGGTTCCACTCAACACAACTTAGCTTTATTAGCTCCGTGCCGCACGAAACGACCAAAATGAGTGACGAACAACAGGAGAGCTGGTGTCCGACGCGACGGCACTGCAGGCGAACATCATTTGCGCAAAGAGAAATTCTCACAAAACTTGTGCTGGTCGACGGCAAAACTACTCGGGAAGCCGCTGAAGTCGCCGGTGTTAACGCGAGTACGGCAAGGAACATCATTAATGCCTACAAGCGAGAAGGCTCAAATACAGAGCGCACCTGCGGTGGAAACAATAGGGAGAAGCTGACTCCCAATGTATTGCAGCGTGTCGAAGAAGCGGTTGAACGGCACTCTGAGGA